GAACCAATTAATCATTGAGCAGTGAGCTTGTAAAAGACTAAGGTCGGATGATGTAAGAGGTTTCATGAGAACGAAGGATTTTTTTAACATATCGACAATGTGTGGAAGGCATAACATGTGACCACGGACCCATTCCGACCAACGGATTAGAATGGAATGAGCAGCGTGAGCCGCAGCCTGAGCTAATCAGAGCGACCAAGGCCTCATGGTAACTCGCAATTCCAGAAGCGCACCCTCAACGCTATACGTTGAGGTTTCCCAGTGGAAAGTACCATAACTACATGAGGCACGTCACAGTAAATGGAAGACCTTACCGATGTCGCTGTTGTCCCAAAATTTTGCTCAGGATTAGACCACCACCTTCTCCGTGCAAGACTTTATTTTTCCGCGGAAAGTAGAAAAAGGTGCTGAAATCAGAAAATGAAGTCCCAAAGCCACCATAAACTGGGGCTTATTCATTTCATTCGTCGGCTGTTGGGAAGATGCCGTTGTCGATAACATCGACGAAGAATGCGATCTGCTCATTCATCATCTTCGCGTTAGCGCTATGAAAGCTCGAAGTTTGAAAGCCATAAAGAGGCGTCTGTATCCAGAAACACTGGAGCTCATACGCCAGCGCGGAATTGCACGAGCTGCAGGCAACCGCGAACTAACGTCCGAAGTTGCTAAACAGTGCAGACAGGCGATTAAAGGAAATCTTAGAGAGAGAGGAGCAAAACTTATGGTCGAAGCTGCAGAGGTTGGGAAAAGCATTTGCAAACCCTACCGAAGCTTTGCCAATTACATAACCAAGGTGATTGGAATCCTACGCCCACACGGAGCAGTAACAGCTTCCAGAAAGGCAATGGAGAAAATCATTCAGGAATACTGCTCTGATCTCTTCAATAGCCACATCCTCCTGCTTTCATAAGAAATAAAGGAGGATGGATATGTCGTACCATCGGTTCTCTCTTCCGAAATCCGATCTGCTATTTCGCCGGTGAGAAATCGAACAGTACTAGGTACCCGACAGGATAAGATCTGAATACCTGAAGAATCTTTAGCCAGTCCTCGTAAGCACACTGTTAAACCGTGTTATTCTTCAAGAACGGTGACGTACACGATCTCGGCAACTATCGCCCAGTGGTTTGCTGTCTTTCGTCTACAAACTTTTTACTCGAGTCATCCTAAATAGCATTGAGAGAACATTGGACGAAGGACTGCTATATAAGCAAGCAGGGTTTCGAAAATGTTTTAATACGTTGGACCACATCCACACGACAACAAGACTCATTGAAGTATCGCGAGGGTACAAAAGACTGCTCTGTCTCACTTTCATCGATCTAAAGAAGGTCTTTTTAAGGATTTAACTGAGATAGAAGCAGTCATAAAAGCCCTTGATAGTCAAGGAGTCCCTACTCAGTACATAAAGATTCTTCGTGAGCTGTACAAAATTTCACAATCTAGGTATCACCATTCTACAATAATAATAACATTGATGTCAAAAGAGGAGTTAGCAAGGTGGTACCATCTCTCCAAAAGTATTTACCGCCACCCTCCAGAACGTCATGCGATCATTGGAATGGGATAATATAAGAGTGAAAATTGATGGTCGGCAGTTACATCACCTTCGTAAAGCCTGTGGAAAGATTGGTCTTCGACTAAATTTCACAATAACGATGTTCATGAGAAACGGATTGGTTTCGTATGCCCAATTTACGCTCAACGGAATGAATATCTCTTAATGCTCCAGCTATATTTATCTATGCCGAGAAATTAACATGTTGAACGATTTAACTCCAGAGCTGAGCAGAAGCAAACAAGCGGCTTGATGAGCTTTCAAGAGCATCGAGGATATAGTGAAAAGGACAAAGAGCACCCGATTTCGTACTCACCTTTTCGAATTCACAGTACTTCCTGCTTTAACGTATGCGTTAAAAACATGGTCGCTGCGTAAGCACGATGAAAGCTCACCCAAGTTATTTAACGCCTGCTCGAATGGATTATGCTAGGAGTATCACACTTCATACAAGTAGTGGAAGGAATCCGAAGTTCTGACTGCGTCAACGATCAGAAGTCAAAGACACCGTTCTATACCCCAAATTGTCGAGGATAACGTTTGCTGGACACATAATGCTTATGAAGGACAATCGATGGACAAGAGCCATTAGTGACTGATGTCAAACGTGCTGCAGGAAGTCCACCGCCTCGATGGTCAGAGTTCTTCATTAAAAGTTTAGAGGAAAGATATGATTCTCAGTGTGTCCCAAGAGTGAGCCGAACCCACTGGGTTACTCTTGGACGCAACAAGGAAAAATGGAAGAATTACTGACGCTCGCTCTAGTCACTCGACGATCACCAGAACTTCAGGTGATACAGGTGGTGGCAATCTTAATTAAATGTGCAAATGTTTTCGTGCCAAACGGTATTCGATGAGATCCTTGCAATCATTGTTTTTTTTCAAATATTAATTTGAAACTTATATGATACCACGTTGCGTCAGAGAACGTTTCGCTTTATCTACAAGACTTCCATCGTCGAAATTGACAAATGACGTTGCCTTAGCTCAGTATTTACAAGTACATTCTTCATGCTCCACTTGTATGTATTTGGTTTGAATTTCATTGTATTTCAAATTAGGGAGTGGCAATATGTGAATGACCGTACTGTCTATTTATATTTTAACATTATCCATCTGCTACGCATATCCAATCACTTCTTACATTCGATTAGTTTTTCTCCCATTCATCGTCGTTAAAGATCTTCGATGTTGTTTTGGCTACTACTTGAGGATTTGATCTTCTTTATGAATGTCGCAGAATGCTGGTCGGGTCGTTTCTCTATGCATCGTTAGGATAGCCGTGCTAAAGCTTCCTAATTGAGTTGGACGAGGGTGTTGAAGAGGCGGCCGTACTCTTTTTGTCCTTGCATCCTGATCAGCAACATCACTAACCACTTCGCTTTCCGTTTCTCCATTTCGTTTGTTTAGTTTTGGCGATATAGAGAGCGGATACAGGTTAGATGAAGTCGAAGAATCTTAGCTCTTAAGATAACTTTTAAGAGTACTTGCAAACAATGAAGAGATTAGAACATCAAAGTTCTGCACAAAAACCCTGAGAAAAAGAAGTGATGCCCAGCAAGCCCTTAGAGCAAACAAAGCCCAGTGCTAGTCTTGCAAATGACAGGTAGAAATGGAAAATTTACTGGTGTCTCTTCTAGTCACTCGACCATCAACGAGTGCAGAGGTGATACAAGCTATACCGAAAAAGTTGCTCGTCCTGCTCACTTCCGGTTCCTCCTTTCTAGTGGATAGCTCGAATCTCCTCCAGCTAATTAGCCTCCCTCTGCTTCCACGAACACTATTTGGTGACCGTTATTCATTTACCATTCCTTCAGTGTTGGCACTCTGCACGACTTCGCCCGACCGTGTTCTTCGTGGATGTTGAGATGACACCGCTGTCATTTCATTGTATTACTCAAATACTTGACTGGACAAGGTTTTCTGACATTTTTAGCCTTTCTCATTGTTCATCTTCGTTATATCAGTTCTACTCGCTGATTATATCATTACTTGTGGTTTTATGCCTTCACTAATTGGTCTAGTATTCTATTGTCGTCACATTATTATTGTAGTATATGTGGTTTCATAAGCATTGTTTTAGACCTTGAAGTACTGCACCAACAGAAAACGACCATAGCCGGAGTTCTTATTTCCTACTGCTGAGCAAATTTTGGGGCAAGTCTCTTGTGCTAACCATTCACAATAGTTAAATTTGTCAACTTTTAAGTATATAACCCTTCAGCATATCAATTTATCTATCTTAAGGTCAGTTCATTTGTTACATAGATACAAATTGTTCCTGAACACAATTTTTGCCTTAAAATCTTATTTTAAAAGGATAAAGGATAAAGCTGTCAGTGTTGATCAATACCTGAGGGATGCGCCATGCATTCAACTTCAATAAGCATCGTTTGGAGGTGATTGAGTACATATCTGGCCTTTACAATGACTCGCGGTGGCCTATCGATGTATCGAGCCAGTGCTGCTACGCTCCCAGACAAGTCTGGTACCAATTTGCCGACCCTGGAGGGGTGGAATGCTTGGTAGGCTATGGTCGTGGGGACCGATTCCGCGTGTGTGTTGCAGGACGCCTCCGACCACTGCGCCACACGCGCCCTATACCCTATGGTGCGTACTGTAAATAATTTTCTGGACTTGGCGGGATGTCACCCACGACTGGTTTGATTAGACACTTACTTGGCAGCTCATCCTCAAATGTCGTGCAGTTCAAGCACTTCTTCTATTTGTTCCTTCCTATTGCAATTCTCATTAGAATAGACGGTCGAGGTTCAGTGACGGCTTAAGTTTAGTTTTCTTCCATATTGGCATGATTCTACGTCTGCAACACTGATAGCTGTCAAGTAGGAGCATTTCCTGCTTTTCAATCAGGATTTTTCTAGAGTACTCGTATGATTACGCTACAACGATAAGTTGTACATTATTAAGAATCCAATTTTCCACAGAGTCGTAAGTCGATCCCGTAGCACTCGTGGACTTCTTATAATGATAACATTTCACGTATTTGAATCGCATCTCGTGTTCGACACTGCCGTTCTTTACTGCATGTGTGGAGCGCCATAATAGATCGATGACTTGTTTTTGTTCAGTCATTCATTGTGGATCCCTGAGAGGAGCAATTCCTCCTGAGGGAATATATAGCACGATACTGACTAAATCTACAGGAGTCAAATCGAATGATCGATTTTTTGAGGGAAATCCAACCAACCATCTGTGTAACAGATACTAAGGCCATAGTGTTTTCATCTACAATAAATGTGGATATTAGTCTTTTTAATTTTGAAAATAATAGGAAAAAAACTTAACTGTTGGAAAATTCGAACTATTAATTCCTACAAAAATATTTTTCGTGCACGGGAAGAACAGATGGCCTAATTGTAAAAGGTGCACTGTTGCAGATTTATGTAAAGTTACCTTTTTATTTCCAGCCGTAATTACTATTATGGTTGTAGTTTGCAATCCCGATGCTGACAATTATAAAGGTTAGTGATTTTTGTGGCCATTTCGATGTTCCCAGGACAGCTGGCACTTAATACTGGTTTTTCAAGAACGACGTAGATCTCATTTTCATGAATAGAGAAGATTCTTGAGCGTTTTTGAACAAGAAAATTCTCAGAAGTATACAGATCATTATAGAACGCCAATTCCTTCTTGCGGCTGCATTTGCAGTTGCACATAATGGTAGGCACAGATCATGCACTATACCTGGGAATTCGTACCGGTCATCTTCGCAACGGGTGCTTTTCTTTTTGTCTATGTTTAAGTATTTACAGGCATTCTATGTACTGTACAATGATTTTCATTTTAGACGCTACCAGGACTATCCAGTTCTTCAGAACAGTCATCTGACGGATTCTTGTCAGTCGTTCCACCTTATTCATCTGAAACTTTGAACAAATTTTCAATCTTAGCGAGTTTTTGGAATTAGTGTTGTTCGAAGCAAGAATCTGATCGTTTTTAATCCAGTTTACTTCTACTTCTTTTCTAGTTCGGACGTTTCTTCTACTCCTTTCCTTACACCAGGACCTTCACAGTTTTTCAGCGGAAACATCATTTCTCAAGGTATTGCGTTAGCTACACTTTGTATTTCATGTGAACTGATAGGAATTCACGACAGTTCTGTCTATTCTGTGCTCTAGATTCAAACTATGGTATCGCTCAGCGCAAATATTGCCATACTCTAAAGCTGATTGCCTGTAAGAAGCTAAGTTATATCGAATTCATTCATATTTATGGGCTTGTGTTGTTCAAAGACATGTACATATATTGACCGAATCTCCCTTATTAGCACTTAGCTTCCCCTTCTCTTGGCACCATTTGTTCGTTTAGCAGGTTTTCTTTGCTGTACTTCCGAATTCCTTTTTTTGTGTTAGAAAAATTTAAAAAGGCTTTTGGAAAGGATAAATCTAACTTAGCAAGAACTGCCTTTTCACTAACGTTGAACAGGAGATATGAATATGTCATTGTAGTAACATGTCAAAATGCCTTCCAAATTTCCTTCCTCTCTGTGGTCTAATCGTGTCAATTTCTTCTTTTCATTTGGGTCACTTGAAAATTAAAAATGCGAGAAATATGCTAGTCTCCGTGTTTAAGTTAGATTATGTCGGGATACTGTCCATGATGCAAATTGGTTTATTTCTCTTCATCTAAATTAGGTGATTCCTATCTGTTAGGAATTTTCATCGAGCTCTACGAAATGCGCAATAGGTGCAGTGGAAGACTTCAAGACGGCATGAAAGTCAATTGTGTTAGCTACGATTACAACCTGTTAATCAACGTAGTTTCAAAATTGGTAGCGCAAGAAGGTTGCACTGGAGGCATGAATCAGCTTGTCAGTAACCAACTATGTCTTGACATCCTAATGTGAGAAAGAATAAAACCCGTCCATCACTTCTTTGAGGGTTTTGTTCTTAAAACAAATATGTATCATAGTATTTGCAGACCAAGGCAATCTTGCACTTCATTGCGACGAGGTTCCGCTTTTTCAAGAAATTAAAGTAAATGAGGTATTACAGTTTTATACCACTTTACGTGTAGTTGGACAAAACTGTTCTCAACTTTTGTATTTCGTCCTTTAAGCTGTCATCCTGTGATCCTGCTGAGAACTCTTCATCGTCTACATTGATATATGGTAGTAGCAATTGCCAGCCCTTGTAAGTTGTCCTGGTACTGATTCGTATGATCTCTGGTCGCCTTCACGTTTCACTATGTTCCTTAATGAAGTTCACAGTTAAAGTTCTCCCTTTAAAATTCTAAAATAGTATAATGGGTGGTGTAGCATGATTTTATTGAGAAATTAGACGTTGGTCAGATTTTCTTTTATGAGGTGTGAATATTCTGCACTGCTAGCAAGGGGATACTTTCCACCAAATTTAGTGGATCAACAGATGTTATCACTGTTTTGAACTGATGTTAAATATTAGGCGGGAAACTGTAATCTCAACCACTAAACTAAAATGTTATCGGCCCGAAGAGTGTTTTTTTTTCTTTTTTTCTCTTAACGATGCTTGTTGTTGCTTCCAACGTGTTTTGAAGATCTGGTGTATCATCATCGACAACAAGACACTCAAACGATGAAGCAAGTACGCAGGTAAAAAAACCCATCGTTTTCACTAGGATTGTCTTCCGATTAATCAAAATAATAGTTCTTACATCCCTAATCGACCACCATGGAGTCACTGCAGTCTTCTCTAAAACTTCGTTCAATGTCACAAGGATTTAACCTTTTTTAGACAAAAAACCGCATTAGCTTTCAGTTATTAGGTTTCTCACGTTTTTACGATCGGTACCGTCAGGGAGTTTGATTCTATTCATATATTAAGTGGTTCCACTTTTGTATGAATAGAATCAAGCTTTCATTCCATTCATACCTTGAGGGAGCTGAATCCAATTCCTCGGGTAGGTACTATCACGTAATTACCAGTTGGTGTGAAGACATCGGGATACTTGCCCCGTATCCTTTGAGTGAACGCCAATAATGTTATGAGACCACTTACTAAGTTATCGGAATTTAACTTGCGAGCATAATTCGACATTATGGAAGTGCTAGTGAAACGCGATTGTACTACAGCATTGTGTTCATTCAATCTGCTTTATTTCTAATCGACCATGCATTTTGAACGGGATGTGCATGTTTCTTGTTTCTCTTCTATCCATAGCAATGGTTTGAACACTTTTTTGTACACTTTGATTCGTGAGTGTCATATGGTGGAAAATTTTTCATAGCAGCTTTTCCTCTAACCCATTCTTTAGAAGAGTACTTACTTATTCGGTACTTGAGCGGCCGGTCTACACTGGTTGTGCAGGCTCCAGCATAATGACCATTTTTCGAAAATTTACTGGTTAAACCTCTGTAGTTCCCTGGAATCCCGAGGTCAACCTGGCCAAAGTCTGTCCATGTTGTCACCACCAAAGGGAGTCGTCGCTCTTGTGGATCAGAGAGATTATCCACTATGCGACTAGTTTGCTGCCAGGACGGTGGTGGATCCTGGTATTGGTTTACTCTAAGCTAGGCTTCCTGATGGAAACGCCGGACTCCTCAATTTGGGAGACCCTGCTAGGGAGAAGAATTCTTCCGCTGTACATCACAATCTGACACCTAGAACCACCTGCTAGCCACGGTGAGAGTTTAAACCATTCGGAGGCTTTAGAAGAGTAAGTGTTACCATTTTGTAAATGTTCATTTTAAAAAAATGAGCTTTGATATGCATTGACCTTAATACATTTTTCGCAAAAGTGAAAGCCGAGTTCAACCGTTTCCGCCACGTCTCGGTTCTCCTTCACCCTTACTGGTTAAAATAAAAGATGTTTGAATGCTTGAATCTGCAGATCTTTACCATTTAGGCAGAACTTTTCTTTTGAATTTTTTAAGGTCATTTTTAGGACCTATCTTGCTCTTTAGAGAAGAATGTGACTGTAGTCGATGAAGGAATTTTCACAGCAATAGATCCGGTTAGTGGATCACCTTACCTCATTCTTAGTTCTATAACTAGACATCGAAGTGTTTGGTCTTTTTGTTACATGTATTCATTTGTTTTCATCGTGCAGATTGCTTTTCACTACAGAATGTTTTACGCGAAAACAGCATTATTGTGTTGGAAAGAGCTTTTACACCGGCGGCCAACAATGTTACTTCTGAGCGATTCTGGATCGAGATGCATGATTTGCAAGTGCAATGGATACAGTGAGTATTCGATGAAAATCCAAGTGATACTAGTAGATGAGAGCCTCCTCACACTGTCGCCCTCGAGAAGACAGTGTGAGTAGATTATTACTGTGTACCCGGTTTTGGTACGCATCATTGGTTTCGAACAACAGGAGCACCATGTGAACGTAACATTCTGCAGTGGAAGCAGCGCACACCCTCAGAAGCGACTGGAAGCCTAGGCTATATGAAATCTTGGTAACGAACAATAAATTTACAGTGCCTCGCCCACATCTATTATTAATGCTAAGGTAGTGACCATTGTTTATGAAAAGGTTCAGGATTTTCCTCCTTTTTATTCAGGAAGATATTTGATTAATCGCGTTAAGTTCTGCTTTTATTCTAACCTATTGGAACTGAAGATTTGCCTTTTTCCACTTTTAGGCTGATCCTCACGTCATCATTAAATCGAAGAATTGTCACATTATACACTTTGGCGTGTTGGAAAGTTCTCATGAAAGTTTTTTCGATGTTTAGAGTACGTTCATTATTCTTAGCATATTTATGAACATGCCTAATTCTCATTGGCTAATGGAATGCTACTGTGCCCAATTTTTTGCTGCGGGTTCTTTGGAAGGAATACAGAAGCACTTAAGCAGATTATCCAGAAGCTGAGGAAGGGACAAATGAAGGCTCTGCCGATAAGAGTACATGAAGAGTATGCTCAAGCACGACGAAGAAGACATGAATATTTCTCACCGGCCTTCATTGCGGTGATAACGTCCGTATCTTCTCGAACAATTGTTCGAAGACAAAGGTTTTTTTTCAGATAATAAGACCTTTTTCTAACAACATTCAAAGCATCAGTGGAACGTTGGATTCTGAAAGATGGTGTCAGGTTTATCTGGGTGGACAAAACACTGACTGGTCACCGTGAGAAATTGTATAGTCCAGATGTGCATTCAATCACTTCTACAATGCTTGATGGAAATAAATGCATGCTGTCTCCCTCAGGGATCGTTCGATATCGGACGCCTTGTCCTTTATCACTTTTATGACATATTCAATCTGTTTTACCTAAACCCGCCCCTCAAAATATCACCCATAGACCGCGTGGTCGTAAATGTATTGGTAAAGCCGCCTCTGAACATTTGTTTATTTTTTATTTTTTAGAAGCGGCCAAAGGGCTTTGATGAATCGATCCAGTTCTATATTATTGACTCAATAAAATTTCTGGAGCTCCTAACGTTGCGCGGATATCGTGTAGGTCAACTTCGAATATTTTTATTTTAAGAAAGCTTTTCATAACTTATGTGCTTGTTATTTAACATGTAGCGTCTGTAATTTTAGGAAGTCTCTAATTTATTGACTAAGTTTGTTATCACAGTCATTGGTCGTTACCTGAAGAAGCCGGGAAGGATGAATGAAATGAGTCAGACATGGACTCAAAGCAGGGAGGTTGGTAATTGAATTCAACTCTTGCTGTCTCCATTAGGCCTACATGTTTTCGTGCCTTTTAGTACCACTGGTGCTTTAGATGTTGCGAATTGTTTGCCAGACTCCAACAAATTTCGACGCAGTGCTGGAAATTATTGTTGCCGTCGATGAGATGAAATTAGAGTTAGTGCCACATCATTTTTCCCAAATTACTGCAAACCTCTGCCCTAATTTGTGGAACAATTGTAAGTTGAGGAGACAATGTCCAACAATCCATTGTCGCAGGAATGGTTTGAAATATGAGACTTTTTGTTTTGTTGTAAATCTCTCTTTGGTTTTTTTCATGTTATGACACGAGAGCAAAGCACTTAGGCCATTTAAGACGATAGGTATACACAGTAACGAAGAGCAAATAAGGAGCTTCAGACAGTGATCTTCAGATTTCTAAAGGTGATGACCTGTGACCGTGAGGAACGAAATGTTGAGTTTATTTGCTACGCCACGGAACAAATAAATGACCTCGTAATCAGGGCTACACAGCGACTACAACAATGTCGACAAGGTGTCAGGTCTACGCCTCCTTTCTGAATTTTGCTGTAATAACTCTTCATAGCTTTACTTTGGATTTTGTATTAATGTTAATTCTTTTGTTGAGAAAAGAAGCAATGAGTCTTCTGAAAAGCTAATCGTCGGTTCGAAGCCCGACTGAGGTTCCGAGTTTTCTGGTATCTCAATATCCTTGCTGCACTTCACTTCGTGCTGTGCAGTGAAAAAAGAAGAGGTACTAAGTAAAGGCTAAAACATTGTTGATCCTTGACTAGTTATACATTTCTTGTTTTAGATGAGTCTATTTTTTTCTACTTCTGCGCTTAGTTTTTTTTTTTGGTAAGTTTGAATGCCGTAAATATATTTTAGATCTCTATCACATATGTCATTGGTTGTCTTTTTTATCGTCAAGTGGCTCCGTTGAGTACTAGTAAATTTTTTGAAGAGCTTTCTTGGTGTGTATTCTATGCGATGCCCATTCTTGACGCACTCGTAGGTAGACTATACACGTAAAACATCAGATTTTGCATTCAGCATCTTCGTGAAAAAGAATAAGAGAGGCCTTCGACCTGTCTCACTATGGGACATATTTTCGTAAATTGCACGTGGAGAAAATGCCGTGGGTCCAATTCTGATCCAATTCCCGACTAAGGAAATCTTTGTTTAGCCGATGCATAAACGTAAATTTGTAGATGTAGTTGAGGACACGGGCTTCACTAAGCCCTGATTACAACAATTTTGATAGTTTGAACGAAATATTTTGGTGAAATCAAAATGTGCGCCAAATTACTTTTGCGCGTTGGTTGTCACCATTACCCAATTGTTCTCACTTCATTCGCTTTCGCATTCAGGAAAAGGACTTTCAAATCATCGGCCCTAAACTCCTAGTCACTAAGGAACCACATTTTGTTCTTTAGAACACTAACTCCTTATCCAGAAAGAAATAAAGGAGAAAGAAAGGAAGAAAGAAAGAAAAAAGAAAGAAAGAAAGAAGAAACTTCGTTTTCAAAGGAAAAGTTAACTTCGCGACGTATATTCCATCTAATACCAATAATTCACTTGTATCATAACGCACAGAGTAATACATGGGCGGTTGTCCATCAACTAACTTAAATACTTACAACAAATAAACGGCTCTGAAGAAGGCGAAACCGCCGAAACGTCAGCTATTGTATTCTAATAAATCCTATATTAACAACCTCGTGTCTGCTTATTGAAGAAAACGTTGAATTATCAATTAATGCCGAGGTTAACAGAAAGTAGGTCTTGGGAATCACTTGTATCATTTGCAACACTTGTTCTGTTGATCGTCGAGTGACTCGATCGGGCGCCAGTAAACCTTCCATTTCTTCCTGTCGCGTGCAAGAGCAGCTAAGTGGGTTCTACTCACACTTGGGTACGCTGAGCACCATATATTTTTTTCTAGCGTTTGCGTTAAGATCTCTAACCATCAGGTCGGAAGTGTTCCTGCTGTGTGTTGGACATCCCAGGAAGTCCAGTCGTTGACGGCTCTGATCCATCGATTGTCTTCTGTGCACATCCGGCCCACCTCATCTTTTGCAATTTGGTGCATAGAACGGCGTTTTTGGCTTTTGTTAGCTGAATTGCATCGGAGCATTCGATTCCTCTCCCACGCGTGGTACAGGATACTTCTAGCATAGTCCTTTCGACAGTACGTTCAATAACGTGAAGTGATTTCTCATGTTGCTTACCTAGCGACCACGTTTATGACTTTGCCGTCATGAGACGAAGAACCATAGAGTCGAGGACGTCGGAGTGGTGTTTGATGTCCTTTGTTCTTCCCACTACAACCTCGCTGGCCCAGAAATCTCCTCAAGCCGCTCGCTTTCTCTTGCTCAACTCTGGAGTTAAGTCGTTGGTCATGTTGAATTTCTAATCTAGATAGACGTAGACGGAGCATTCAGAGATATTCAATCCGTTGAGCGTGAATCGGTCAAAAGAAACAAATCTGATTTTTATGAATATCGTTTTCGTGAGATTTAGCCAGAGACCAATCTTTCCATAAGCGTTATAAAAGTTGACAAGTATTCGTTCCTCCTGATCATTGTTTCGTGCTTTAAGAACGAGGTCATCAGCAAGGCGAAGGTGTTGTAACTGCTGATCATGGATTTTTATTCCCCTTTCTTTCACATTCCAGTGTTCGTATGATGTTCTCGAGGATGGTAGTAAATAATTTTGGCGAGATGGTATCGCCTTGCTTAAGCCCTTTCTTGATGTCGATGTAATATTCTGATAACGTTTCGACGCCTTCGCATTTCCCAGAGCCGATTTCTCAGAGCTGAATCCTTTCGAAACTCTTCTTGTTCATATGACGGCCTTTCATCCAGTTTTATGTCAATCCTGTTTGGGACGACTCCAGTGAAAACTTTGTGGACGACAGACAGCAAATTCGACGATAGCTAGACATTAGAAAAGTTGTATACGAGGACTGCTGTCGCATTGTATCTTGTTGAGATGGCGAAAATGTGACTTGACCGATGAAGTGTTTTATGAATGGAGTTAAATGAGTGACGCATCTTTGGGAATTTCATCAATTTTGGAAATATTATGACACTCAAGTATATTTGAGTTTTTTTCGTCGTTCGATTGGGCATAACTCTTCAATCACGTGAACGGAGGTTACGAACAGCACTAGCTAAAACAAGTAAACTTACGTCCACAACAATAGGAGAACACAACGAACTTTCACGTGCTACAACAAGCCGTGCAGACGAAGCTCGTCCAAATATCAAGTTATTAGAGCTCGCTAAAAAGGCTTTAGTGACCATCGTTTGCATTGGTAATTCAGAGTATAATTAAGTATAAATGATACAACTGCACCTTCACGTTATCAAGTACAAATTAAAGCAGTAGTTTCTTTTGATTTGCAATATGGTCGAAACAAAAATTAATTATAAATAAATAAGTATAGATATAAGATAATAAATAATAATATAAATAATTAATGAGCAATCCCTTTAGTCCCTTTAGGAACGCACCATGCATTCGACTTCATTTAGCATCGTCTGAAGGTGATTGGATGCATATCTGGCCTTTACAATGATTCGCGGTGGCCTAGCGATGTATCAAGCCACTTCTGCTATCCTTCCAGACAGATCTGGGACCAATTTGCCGACCCGGAAGGATGAAAGGCTTGGTGAGCCACAATAGCGAGGATCGATCTCGTGTGTATATCCCATATCATATAACCTAGCCCCCCTCAGACCACTGCCCCACACAAGCCTGTGTTCAAATACTAGTGATAGTCTTAACTCTTTTATTTACTGCCTTTTTCTTCTTAATGGCAGGGTATGTTTCGAATTATAACTCGTATGAAACGCTGAGATATTTGCAAAACTACCTGTAAGGTACCGGTAAGGACAACAGCGCGTGTTCGTTCCCCACTGCATACACCTGTGGTCCGGAGTTTTGCAAATATCTCAGCATTTCATACTAGTGATAGTGTTATACCTTTTTATTTTTCTGCCTGCTATAATTTCGCGGCAGGGTACTAAGCGAAATACAACCACAACGTTGCTGAGATATTTGCAAAACCCTGGACCGCAGGTGTCTATGGTGGGGAACGAACGCGCTTTTGTTCTTTCCGGAGAGTAACGCGTTCACCACCACACCATGCGGGTCTTTCGTTTCGCCTGTCTCTCAGCTAGTTCTATCGATCTTCTGCCATCAGCAGTCACCCATCACATATCAACGGGATTGATCTGGGAAGCCGAAATCCTGCACGGTGTGGTGGTGAACGCGGTTCTCTCTGAAAAAGACTATAGCGCGTTCTTTCACCACCGCAGACATCTGCGGTCCGGAGTTTTGCAAATATCTCAGCGTTATAGAACTAGTGATAATGTTTTCTTTTTTATTTACTGACTACTATATTTTTCATGGCAGGATATTATTCGAAGTCAAACCCAACGGTGCTGAGATATTCGAAAATTTGAAACCCGAACCAGATCGAACCACGATTTCCATTTCCGGGGTCTCGCACATTGCACTGTACCCCACGGGGTTTTTGCTCTGCGTTTTTCTCAACTAGTTTAAATATTTCCTAATTCAATCTCTTCCGTTATCATCTCCAATGACACTTCTTGCCACATAGAGATACTTCTTCATTAAGAAGTGGAAACCACAGTAACACCTTACTACTGAAGTACCAGCTTTCATGAGAAATTTCATTCTCAGCTTCTTTAATCATTTAAAGAGCTTATCTAATAGGTGTATGGACCATATCGACTAGAATTCTTTTTTTAGGCTTCCGGATAAAGGTGTCGAGGCGTGCTGTGGTTGTCACATTTGACATTCGCCGACACGCTTAATGGAGCGACGTTGGTCGGCTTGCCATTAGGTGAGTTTTCTCAACAACGGGCGATTCCGGGCACAGGCTATTTTCGGTTGTAGCCTCAGATAGAAAGTTGAACTTCTAAGATACCAAGGACTTAAACGAGCAAAGTCCGCTGAGGACTCTAGTGAAATTATGCATTGTTCGACATTTCCCACCACCACTGAACTCTTGTTAATTGAAGCTTACTGTGACTGTAGATCAAAGAAGGTGCGTGTAGTGGAATAGTAGGGATGTCGCTCAATACGCACAATACCAGGATTGCTTCCAGTTTAGAACCTTCCAACACTTCCATCTCTTCAGGGTTAAGAAATTGGTACGAATCTTGTCCAGGAAACGCTCATGGATTCACAATACCTAGAAAAACCTTGGCACGTTTACTTCAGGATTCGATGGAGAATCGATTCGACCAACATAGAGTGCCATTCATAAAGAAGACCATAAATCCTCGTACAACAGGCGAAACCGCATGCAAGAATCCGGGATCTCATTAGGCGAATCGAATGCAGGAAGTGCTAGGATCTGGACAATATCTGTAAACTCGTTGTTACATAATGTGAAAAAAATGCGAAAAGCTTTAATTCAAGTACTGAGCTTTTCATAATATCGTATGAAATCATTTATTTGGTTATATATACAATATGCATAATTTGGGAAACGCCGCTAGTCATTTGCGACTTATTATCAAGTCGTCCGTTTCTCGCTGCCGCTGCCTGAAACGTGCATGGATTATTAAGAATTAGGTAAAAAAGATAAAGGATAGGGCCTATCTACATTTATCAACACTTTATGGATGCGCCATGCATTTGTCTTTATCAAGCATCGCTGGAGGTGACTTGATGCACACCTGGTCTACACAATGGCTCGCGGTGGCCTACCGATGGGTCAACTCAGTCCTGCTTAACCACATAGACAATTCCAATGTCCCGGCCCTCGGGGCATGAAAAGCTTGGTGGGGCAAGGTACAAGAACGAATCAAAGACGGTAGGTGTATTGCAGGGCATCTCTAACCCCGTGCCACACGGGTCCTCAAGGGTGTGAGGTATCACCAAATAATGCGGTTGTCGTATTGAACTTCAAAAATTCCATTCACTGCGCATGTAATGTATTTCAGTTTGGTCTTTTGGTTGCTCTACCTTCTTGTTTTGCGACAATGAGAATTCCTGAGCATCTAGAGCAGTATGCACATTGTTGCATGTAGCCCGACTAGTGATAAACGCTACCCTGCAATGCACATAGTCTTTATTTCTATCTTCCGCCACTGCTGAAGTATGACGTGGTTCGTCTTTGTTAGGAAGGAAAAAATGGTTCTAGATATTTCTGGCAGGGGAAAAGTTATGGGTCAAATAGACAAAATGTGCATCCGATCATCTTCACGATGCATCACAGAGTCGAACACACAACGTATCTCAGGAAAAAATAGTATTCGCGGTAAGCTTTATTGCAGTGTCATGTCGCGTACTCTATAGCACATTCAGTTCTTCCATAGAGAATATTTCCTAAGTTGTTCCTACCTTTTGAGGCTTGGGGGCATAACAACTTCTTTGAAACTCGGCAGCATGTCATCGAGTGATGCGAGTTCGAGTCGAGTGAAAACCCTTTCCAACACGTACATACGGATCAGTACCATGAAGACAAGCTGAAATTGAATGTGGTCCTATAGTGTTGAGTGTTCCTAGTACTGCTAAGAAGTTTTCTATGTCTTATTTATATTTTGCTTTGCAACAATGCCTGTTACTCCCGTCCAACAACCGTCATCATTTCTTTGCGATTTCAGAAGCTACAGACATCCGAAAGGACGACTTGTGAGTTTTCTATGTTCTCTAATAAATTCATGATACTTCCCGTAGAAAAGGTTACACGTGAACATGATGATACTATACCCGAGTTCACTCCCATACTAGCACTTTTCTATTTTACTTGAGCACTTTCGTCAATCGCTTCTTGTTTCTGGCAGTTTATCTCTGCCCTTGTATTTTGTTACTCCTCCACTTCACCTAAGCCAGTCACATTCTTTTGAGATAGAGCTTTTTATAACGGAAATAAAGGGCTTTTTATTACTTGTTGCACCTATGGCTTCTCAGCAATTTAGTAAGGACCTCCAGATTTTGATGGATGTAATAGGCTTTACAGCAAAAATTTCTGGCCATAAAAGAAGTCCTCTGTAGTCGCCGACAAACTTTACACTTATCGTTGGTGTTAGAGTGATGGAAACTTCATAGATTTATTTTCGTAACTGCTTTTGGAATAATGAGCGCCAAATGTACAGTCTCAACAGAACTTTCGGGTATGATTTATCTATAGGACAAAAGAGAAAATAGGAAAAAATGCAAGTGTTCTCTTCAATGGAGCCGCTTAGCCTTAACGCGTTGTAGCTCTTCACATTCTATTCTATTCTAACTCCCGTAACTGTTTTTCTGTTTTGATTCATTGCAACTTTTCCATTTCATTGTGACTGATATCTTCTCTACTTTCATTTCTCACTGAACGATCAGCACCAAGAATTCCAAGAAATTATCTGGTGAATCTTAAGCCTAAGTGTTACTATGTTATCCCTTGCGTAACTCTAAACCTCTAACTCTGATCCTAACCCTCACTCTAAGTGCCTTCTCAGTGATCTCATCTCAAGACTTGCCACATTATTTGAAAAAACTATTGTAAGCACACCATTAGCGGGAATATCATGGAGATTGCCTTCGTGTACTTCACGACAAACAGCGTTCCAATCGATAACAACTGTATTGAAGTGAACAGATGTACTCGTCGCATTTTCACCGATCGTAACCACGAATAGTCAGGCTGAAATGGTCGTGTTTGAAAACAAAACGGAAAAAGTGCTGCGTACGAAAAATTGATTCTGAAGGAATTTCCTCTTTGAAGACATCCATTACTTGTAAAGCTAAGAGAACAACGAAACACAGAAAGGAATTAGTGAGCAACTCGTTTAGGTCGACACTCAAGGACGAAATTAGAGACCTGGTGTTTGACAGAAGTGAAGAGTAAGGCAATTCTTTGCACAAATTGCTGCCCCAACAGAGAGACAACTCCCATATAGAGGAAAATTCCGATGAGTACTGGCAAAGGCACGAACTGAAATAACACTGAGACTTCGCCTGGAACACGAGCGCTAAGCGCTTGGTTTTTCATTTACCTTGATCACTCTTGTTAGAAAAACTGAAAGTCCGATGAGAATATGAGCAAAGACACCGGTTAGTCGCTGCTCTCTGAAGAAAATAAATAGAAAGAGGCTAGTACTTGGTTTGATGTTTAAAAATGTAAAAGCGAATATAACTAGGACGTCACAAAAATCGTCGCCTCTCCTATTCAAGATATTTTTCAATTATTCATGGAATATTAACCCTTTATTTTCTGCCTGTTATAATTTTTCACGGCAGGGTTTCATGTGAATTACAATCACAACGATGATGAGATATTCGCAAAACTTGGACCACGGGCCAAATCGAGCCACGAACCAAAAAGGCAAATCGTGGCTCAATCTGGCCCGAAGTCCAATTTCGCGAATATCTCAACATCGTTATTCATGAGATTTGTTTACACATGAACTTCTGTTATTTTTTTATTTAGACTTCTATATATGCCCTAAGTATTTATTTCTGTTCAGTTTTTCTCTCCTTCTTCACACCCTTCATACCGTGCCATTTTACATGGGTGCAGCATAACAAGTTGAAAACTCTGGGAATTTAAAATTTCTCTCCAGAAAATCTGCGAGTTTAAAAAAGATCACTCACTTTACACCTAAAAAGCGTGGAATTTCACCCGGAGCTGATGATTCGGAATACAAACGGAGACAGTTAACGTGCATAACGGAAAGCACCGTAGCTGCGACGTAGAACGGTAGTCCAAGAAATGAACATACGAGCACCAGTAGACCGATCACAAGCAGGTCCAAATGATAACCGTGTCCTTTCTACAACATAACACTAAAGGAAAAAAACTCTTACTATCCTTACTACAAAATAAATTTAAACCCGATGACCCGATTTTTATGCCGTCTCGGATCTGATTTCCAGCCCAGTGTGTGACAAACAAGTAAGTGAAACGAATAGTTAAACATCATTTTCCGCTTATCGTACTCGTTATGTGACCACGTAACTTAACTTGCATGCTCATGATGGAAGAGAACAAAGTGCCAAAAGAAGCAAATACCTAGAAACCTAAGCACACAGTGAACTCTGAGCACTCTAGTATGTATTAACACCAATGCATATGAACATCCTTGTTTTGACGGGTTCAGCTACACTATCTTGTTAAAACCGCTCATAGTAATTCAGGGAAGACGTTGTGAGGAATCGTTTCATCTCGATTAAAACAATGACTAATGAAATTCCTGCTCTGAAATAGCCAAACAGTACGAATTAATCAATCTCTGTTAAATAATTTGATGCAAACAAACCTCTCAATAACACACTGTCAAGGTCACAGTAAAGTGAACAGTACGGTGGGTTATTGCACTTATAGCATTAGAGAATCTATGATGTTTCCCTCTCGAAGTACTACTCACTTTATATTCCAATATGTCAGTTTATACTATAAACCAATAACCCTGTTCTAAGATAAAGGATAAAAGGATAACGCTAGCGGCGTTAATCAATCCATGAGAGGAGCGCCATGCATTCAACTACATTAGACATCGATAAAAGTGATTGGATCTCCCATCTGACCCATCTGGCCTATAAATGAACCTCAGTGGCCTACCGATGTTCGAGCCAGTGCTGCTATCTTCCCAGATAATTCTGGTACCAATTTGCTAACCCCGGAGGGATGGAAGGCTTGGTAAGCCTAGGACGCGTCATCCCATTGCGTTTCTAATTACTACGCTATACCGACCTTTGTTATAAGATAGTCTGTATTTACTGTCAAATTGCAACTGAACTACTGAGATGCATTATCACTTTAACCCTGACGGGGTGGTTCTCTGCTGATTTGTGATAGTGATATGGTGCGTGACTAATGAAACATGCCTTACTACGTTATCTCTTGTGCTAGAAATATAATCAGCTATCGCCCAGTGAGTTCAACGCCTAGATACTGCTCTTTTGAGCTCGCCGAATTGGATTACATCCTCCAGAACCTTAGAGTTTAACACGTTCAGTTGCAGATCACCACGACTGAACCTTTAATCTGGTATAGATTAAGGCTTATCACGGTATTCGCCATAATTAAACCTATCTTCTGATTGATAGAAAGGAATATATTAGTCTTCTCTAGAGGTACTTGGACAGAGGTATCATCATCAATTTAAAACACATAAACTTCAAAGTGATTTTCATTCGTCTTAATGTAAGCCCATCTTTTGTGACAACGAAGTAGTCATGACTTATTCGTAGAGGACTGTCGCTACTGTGATGGATGAAGTTAAACCAACAATAATCTGTTTGATAGCTACTCACTCTGAGCAAATTGTCCTTTCTGTTGATTATGACGGCTGTGATTTGTTGGTCCATCACTATAAGAATCGTGTAGAATGCCGCTGGAAGAGATGAAATAAGAGCCACATGAACAGGAATTCGAGAGATATCGATGAGCCACGGTCGGTCGAGCGTAGGCTGTAAATCTCATCTTGATTTTCAGTTTTTTTCTTTGCTCAAATTGTAATATGTCCAAAGCTAAACTATCGCATTCATATCTGAAATATTACGTTTCTTAACAGGGGATAACATTTTTGCGTTGTATCCTTTTCTGTTGACAATCGTTGATAACCCAGAAACATCCGATATTTTTGCCTTAGCCATTGCTTATCCTTACCTACATAAATATTTTCAAGGAATACTATAGTACTGGAAAACTAAGTGTAACTGAGAGAAAGAATCTTGGAAACTTCCTTGAAACTCTCGGGAACATGTAGACTTGGAACGTCGAGTCCTATGAAGAATGAGAAAGTAGTCATCACAACGATTGCTATCACCACGCCAAAATCAGAAAGAGTGTGGCGAAACTGAAAACGCGATGCGTGATGTTTTAGCAGAAAAAAATGAGAATAAACTTCTTTTCCAGTTGCACCATCCAACCGTGGATCGTTCCTTCCGAACTAGGAAACGCTACAGTCTTTTCTCAACCTAAACATCTTAGCGACTTGAAGCCCTATTTTTATAAAAATAACCCGTTCTGTCATGAAAATACGTCTGGTTACAATCCTAACCGTTTTATTTACTGCATACTATTTTTAATGGCAGAGTATAATGCGAAATATCTCCCCGGAAAGGACGATAGGCGTTCGTTCCCCACCGTAGAGCCTGCGATCCGGAGTTTTGCAAATATCTCAGCATCGTTGAAGTTACGCCTGGTTATTTTCTATTTTCATACAAATAGTAAACATGTCAGTATAAGAAACAAGAACAATTGCACGCTACACATTGAAGAACAAAAAAACGAAACTCACTGTTGATCCGAAAAACCTTGAATTTCTAAAGGTGTTGAGACCATAGGCCAACGCAAATGTGCCAAACGTTAGTAGTACGGATAGCATATAAACATCCGGTTTAAAGTGGCATTGCAAGCCGACGGCTTCACCACCTCGAATCTCACACTCTGAAAGACAATTCTTTCTTTGGCTTTGGTATATAATTACTTCTATTGATGGCCATTTCTTCTTAGTTCTCTCAAAGTCCCATGCCAATCATCAATCCGTCACACTTCCGATGGTGCGCTGAGTGTAGAAGCCTCAAAAGAAGTGGAACATTGGTTATTTGTAGCCTGTTGTATGGTTTACATCTTTCCATCCGAAACATATCAACGAATTAGTAACTGGGTCACAAACGGCGTTCTACAGTATTGGACAACGAGAATACGGCTTCTCAAACTGCGAACCCATTACAAGAGGTTCTATAGGAAAATGTTTTAATTTTTCGCAGCACGTAGTTTGAGATACATATGCTGTAGAGTGACCTGTACAAATGGGCAGAGGATAAAGCTCTCGGCGTCGGTCAATCCCTGAGGGATGCGCTATGAATTCGATTTCGTTAAGCAATGTTGACGGCGATCAAATGGATATCTGGCCTTTACAATAACTCGCGGTGGCCTAGCGATGTATTGAGCCAGTGCTGCTATCCTCCCAGACAATTATGGTACCAACTTGTCGACCCCAGAGCGATGAAGGCTTGGGCTATGGGCGTTGGGATCAATTGCACGTGTGCGTTACAGGGCGCCTCCGACCGCTGCGCCACACCCGGTCTTACGGCATAGATAAAAAATCGAGGAAATCGCCGTAAGACTCGTGGAGATGAAAAGGTTACCTAATAATAGTTTTATTCAAACTATAATGTGTAGAAAATAGTTTTCGGTCAACGCCATAACAACAATTGTGCTGGGAAAGCCATTAATCTAATATAAAAGCTAAAAAAGCGTAAAACCGTTCGGCGTTGGTTGAACAATGCCTAAGAAATGCACTTTGCAATCCGTTTCATCGAACACCGTAGATGCAAATGAATATGTGTTTGGTCTAAGAAGTGAGTGATTTTCGAAAATCTTCCAATGTACTACGTATGTTTCTCGGAATAGTGTGATTCCAGTTCGTCCATTCCAATGGGATGAAAGGCTAACGACCAACCCTGTGTTGCGGGGTACCTCTAAACTTTGTGCCACACGCGCCCTCACGATATAGATACAAAAGTACTTCAGAGAATTTTCATAAGAAAAAAAACAACCTCAAAGAAAATCAGTCATATATCAGTCATTAGTCGATTCATCAATTACACATGACCCGTAATAGTAAAACGCCCTCATGTAGTTATATAGTCATATAGTCAGTCATATACAACTCACGTTGTTCCCGATATGTTAGAAACATCACCAGTGCAAACCAAAAGAATCAATAGGCAATAAGTGCTCGCTGAGGGAGCCTAATAGACGATAAATAGCAGCAAAGCATTGGAGTGAAGGCATAGCAAATTACCAAGCCTAAGGTTAACTTATGAATTAGCAAAAAATTGTGTTATTCTCACCTTCAGCCGACACGTCTTTCAATCGCAAACTTGCAGTTCGGTTTAGCTCGCCATCGGTTGAGTTAAGATAACAGAAGCAGGGAGACTCGTAAACCTCCTGAAACCTTTTAGGTGGCTCACATATACAATATACATGGTTATACCAAACATTAAGCTGTAATGCGTAAGCCACCTTCTCATGATAAAACAGAGGGTCTCGATATCCCCATGGGGAAGCGAAGTTTGAAAAACCCACCACATCAAACCTCGTTATGCTAACCATGGGTACTATCTTGCCAAAAATAGTAGAAAAGAGCAGCAATAGTGTGATCCTCCTTTTCGCTGAGGATACCGAACAATTTGTGCGTGATAAGGTGGGGATCATTCGTTGGTACCCGTAGGAGTTAGTCGATGCTTAACAAGACTTTGGATGACAAATGTGGAACATTTAATAATATTGGTACATTGAGCAGTTTCCTGTAACTTTCGCTCCCACGAATATGGATGTTTCCCCATATTTTTGATACTGACTTTCATTTAACCCAGGGCATGGATAATGAATTTCTGAATTTACTGATAAGATTAAGCAAGGTTGTTAAAAATGTATTGTTGTAGCTAAAATTTTGGTGTTACCGCCTTTTCAGCACGTGATGATTTAGAAATAGTTTGCAAAGCTTTGATGAAGGCAATGGCGTAGAAATGTTGGCTACAACAAACATCTGTAACGTGCTCGTGTAAGCTTATCAATAAACCAAGAAGATTTCCTCAGATCGTTTTCGTGGTCCCATTTGCTAGACAGCTGAATAGTGTAAAACATGGTAGTAAATCGGCGTGCAAGCAATGATGGCCACCTTCCCAGTCAATGATGGGTGCTTTCTTTGTTCAACTTGGAGCGAACTACCCTCGGATCAGCGACGATAGGAGCATCGTGAGAGATCTCGATTAGCTTCTGGAACGCTTGGATAATGAAGACGACGGAAATGAGAGTGGCAAAAGCTTCCTCGGTAAACCTGAATATTCTTTTGAGTATAGGAATTTCCAATGTTACTCGACAATCCTATGTAAAATGAAAGTGCCGCAGAGGTTCAAGTGACATCGATCTAAGATATTTCTTATCCTCACCTAGAAATCAATCCAACCAAAGCAGACATATCAGTGGCCGTCAGGATAATTAAATACACGGTTATCCATATACCCACCCAACATCTGAAGGGTAAGAACTCCCATCCGTTGCCACTGAAAAGAAAATAGGACACCAAAGGACAGTGCATGGCACGTCATTAGACATTGGTGACGACACCTCATTCATTTTCGCTACAGCGGATTTTCCGATAACTAGTGTAAGTTTTTTAATATTAAATTTCTTTAAAACTCTATCCATGAAAAATCAAAGAAGAAATGAAGTTTTATGTATTAAGTCCTTAAAACCAAAGAATGTATAAGTGAAGCTTTCTATTTATAATGCAACAAATAGCCCTTCATGTAAGCCATTTACGGCAATAGATAAGCACTGACGGTAGCGCTCCTTTCAACTATAAAAGTTTGATGTCAAGCATAACCATGAGGATAGTGAGATATGAAGATAACGTTGAACCTCACTTGGGTGTTGGACCCGCGATTACCTTTTCCGGGGTTCACACAATATTTACCAAACCAACCGACGCCTCAGCCAGTTTTTTTTTAGCCTAACGGTGCTATCAGCATTCACCTGTCAACAAAAATAAGCTTGAGAAATCAAATCGGCATAGAACCCAGTCAAGCTAAAGCTGCAGTCAAAGTGAAAATATTTTAACTTTTATTTATTTTTATTTACTGCCTATTCTATGCAGCAAACAAAAGCAAGAGCATTATATCAAAGACGAAATTGATAGTGAGAAAATTGAGAACAAAAAGCAAAGTGCTAAAGCTCACATGCAGAACTCGAAGAGGATTTTCTCGAAAACCAAAGTTGGACCGGTAGCGGACAGAATGTTGAGCGGTTGCCCAGAGAAGGCGGCGAACAGAACGCCGGAAATGCCTCCACTAAGAATCGCCTCCATCGAAGCCTTCAAATTAGCAGCAATCAAAACTACAAATGTCACAAAGTTAAACGAGTAGCCAGTTTAACCAATAGATTGTCCAAATGTACATTAAGTACCAGCAGCACCCTTTTATCAATGATGTCACTTACCATGGATTGAACATTTTCTATGTGACTATGAAAATGGAGCACAGTAATAGGAGAATATCGATTTAAAATTTCGTAATGAGCGAAAAATGTGGATAGCCTGGCATGAGAATTGTTCTTATAAAGTGGAAGAAAGTGAAGACGGTGCTGAAACCATATCTTACAATCAGCAGCTTGTTGAGGAATGGTTAATCATAAAATCATTTGGTTTTTTACTTTCTTTTTACCTTTACTTTCTATGCTAACGTGGCACCCACTGCGTCAGATAAATAGATAGTGACCCGTCTTCACATCTGTGCATCCTTTTCATTATTTCTAACCCTATCGATGTTGTGTACCTCGATAGGGGTGGTTGAGAGTTTGACCAATTCTTGAAAGGCTGTAGACATTCCTCGACAGGCTCGAAATGTGTGTCGAATGTGATTTTTACTAGAATCAATGATATGGCCATACTAGAATGCTAAGCCGTTAATCGAATGAAAGTTTGTTAACATGCCAAGGGTTTTCTTTGGAATGCAGCGATTCTTGAGAATAGTCTAGCGACCGATTGGGAATTATCCAAAATTGAAAGCATCTAAAATTTAAAACCTGGCGGTGGTAGGTAATTTAATCGTAAGAGGATTGTACATATTCACATCTTGTAGTAATATCCACAACGACTTTCTCTTAACCTCGGCAATGATCAAATAGTTCTTTATAGCCTTGTTAAACTGGGACGAATGCGTTGGAGGAACGAGTGCGTCCGTGTAAGGGAACACCTGGTTGGTAAACTTAAGGTTAAACTCTAGGCGCGCATAGGGCACAGAGACCATAAGGGGGAAGATGCTGAAGTTTAAGTTACCCTCTTCGCACAGAAACCGAAAACACCAGTGCGCAAACTCTCGACGCACTCCGGATAAATTCCGAGAATTCGAAAATGGACCGCAGCAAAGAATGCATCTTAACCAAGCGTGATATAACATAGTATTTGAGACTGTCACTTGAATGTGAGAGCCGCATCACACTTCCATGCGAACTCTGTGCTGTTGGTCTCCACGTGACATACACGCTGGAAGACTTATACAAAGCGTCGAGTTCGCAAAGAAGATATTTTGTTTTCAATGCGATTGAGATCTTGGTTTAGCACTATCTCTGCTTGGTTATGGTAGTGTTTGGCTGGGTAGATTGCAGTCAACTTGACCTTTCCAGGCTCTAAAAAAGGTAAAAACCGGAAACGTCAGCTTCATCGTAGTAAAGAAATAAAATAACACCTCGTGTTTGCTCAACAAGGCTATAAAGAACTGTTTGTACAAATCCAATTTGAGCACACGGCTAGAGTTTACGCCTTAGGTATAGTGAGCACAATATCTTTTAAAAATGGCAGCACACTCTTCTCAATTCAAAAGCGGTGCTAGTATTTACTGCTCCGAAGGCTCATATCGCAATAGTGGATGACTGTGGACAGTCGACTCAAATGACAGCGGCGGTGAAGAAAGTGAAGCGCCGAAACATTAGCCAAAACAAAGTTTTCTTAAACACTCACGTACATACCTAGTAATCTAGGAAGGTCTTTAATTACTTAGACAAATGACAATTGCACTTGTCCGCACTAACTGTGCAATGAGGCGTGTAGTAAGGTGGGTAAAGGACCTAGCCAATCTTTCCAATCCATGCAGTCTGCAAATTGGTGCCAGCGGCACTATCTGAGAAGGTAGCAGCACTGATCTAATGCATCGGTAGGTTGCCCAAAGTTATTGTAGAGGCAAGTTATGTATCTAAGCGCCTCTGACAGCGCTCGATGATGTCGCATTGCGTGAAGAATTCCTCACGGACTGATCAACCCCGACACCTTTACCCTTCGTCCTTTTATTCATGATAGGAGCAATATCTTCCTCCCAGCGGTTTAACGCCTTATCGTGGCTGGGAGGTATTCCTGGGTGTCGGACTGCGATGTACAGTGGAGATTCATTCCTTGGCAAGGTCCCCTAGGCTGAGAAGGAGTCCGGCGTTTCCATCTGGAAGCCTAGCTAAGCGTAAACCAATACCAGGATCCACCACCTTCCTGGTATGAAACTAGTCGCATGGTGGCAAATCTCCATCTGATCCACAAAGGTTGGCGACTGACTGTGATGGTTAAGACTTGGGGCAGACTTTGGCCAGACTGTCTTCGGGATTCCAGGGAACCACAGTGACTTAACAAGCAAATCTCTGAAAAGTGGAGATTATGCTAGGGTTCGCACAACCAGTGAGGACGGACCATTCAAACATCAAGTAAGTAACCAATACCTCGGTATATAAATGTATATATATATATATGCTGAAGGAATAGAGCATACGAAGACAGGGGTTAGCACAAGGCTCATTCATAGCGAGCTGGCAGCCCAGTGATAGTAATACAAACTGTGTTGAGGTACGCACCGTAGAAGTGAAGGTAGATCACGTAGGAAAGTGCAAAAAGCTACAATATAAACAGTTAAATGTGACTCGCATTTTCTATAGTGAAAACTTAAAGTTTTGCTCGTCGAATTATATATGATCTTCTTCTTAGTGGTCATTTTTGGTTGAAAAATTTAAACTAGAAAATAAATAAATACCATTTGATGATGCAGAATACGTTCCATGACGGCTCCAAAAGTGATTATGGAGGTGATGTTGGCGAAGAACAGGAAAATGGTTGCGGCCAACGACTGCGAGAATCTCACGGTGAAGAAGTCCGTGAAATCCGAAATAAACCATGGCTTCTTTGCTCTGAATTTCTATAAACTCCCATTTGTAATCACCCAAAGGTGAGTAATAGATATCATCGGAGATGTGGAATTACTAGCAATATACAAAAATATTGTTGGAGGTACCAATGCGACACACACGTGGAATCGATCCCAGCGCCCATGGCTCACCAAGCCTTCCATCATTTCGGGCTCGGCAAACTGGTACCGGATTTGTCTGCGAGGATAGCGGCACTGACTCGATACATCGGTAGGCCACCGCGAGTCATTGTAAGGGCCAGATAGGCATTCAATCACCTCCAAACGATGCTTAACGAAGTCGAATGCATGGCGCATCCTTCAGGGATTGATCAACACCGAGCACTTTATCCTTTGTCTTTTATTTTACAAAGATATTGAATGCACTGTTGCATTTGATGTGGAAGTGTTTTCGGATGTCGAACTGTAGCAGACACCAACAGTTCATCTTCAAAAAGGTCTTACACTAACCGTAAAGGGTTTCCCTGCGGGTTCACAAAGGCCAAAACATGTCTACGGTGACGAGCAAGGAACGGAGCCATGCGGCTGTCTCCAGAAAGAATTACGAATTCTTCTGGTGAAATAGAATGATAGTCAATTAGGAATGATTTTTGAATGCATACGACTCTCCGTGAAGATGTAGTGGAAATTCAATGCCACTAAGAAGATGCACTTTTAGATTTCATCGACTTAAAGGTGGAAATGAATGTCACATGGCCTTGAATAACTGTAGTTAATCGGTGGGCAAAGAACAGTTCTGCCGTTGAAAAAAACCATTCGAAAACAGCAACTGTTTCTTCAGATGTCAGACAACATACATCCATTCAAGAGTTTCGTATTCGGCAGCATTGAACCAGCACAGAAAGTGTATAAGTGTGCACATCGTGCCCAGAATAGGGCGTTGTGATTCCTTTCGAATCATCGCAGGATTAACTAAAAAAATTGGCTTCACTTTAACTTCGGCATGACTAATTGATACGTATTCTACCATTTATGAGGCAGCTTAGTTTGTGTTAGCTCATCAATGAAAGAATACATGTTGACTGGTCATGCCGAGGTTAAGGGAAACTTGGTTTCTGCCCCACATCGGAGGAAGAAAGAATTGTTAATTATCGACTGGCCCCATTGCGGCTCTGTGGGAGGTAAAGGGGAAGAAACGTTAGTCGAAAAATCTTAATCAAGATCATATCAGCTTATCAAAGAAAGCGCGCACTGCAAGACTCTCCTTACACGGGAGAAATCAAGGTAACTCTTTTGGTTGCAAAATGATGACAAGAAAGTACATTGAACTGAAAGTCTATGCGTTCCGACTGACTTATGGGCTCGAATGTAAATAACTGTGTAGATGAAATCTACCTTCAATGCTTAATCTAGTTAGCTTAATCATCGGATTATTAACCTATCGTATCCGAAAACAAACTTTTACCTTCACCAGACTGATCTTATCTGTGAGAAGAATCAAGGAGATTCTGATAAAGAACAAGGTGCTCTCAAAAAAATAAAGTGGAATGAAAACCCAGACCTGGTGGATTTTGTGCAAATATAAAAGAAATTTAAAACATCCACATAATAGATTACTTGAGATCTTTCACGAGGCCTCCGAAGAGTCTGCCGGTCCTCGTAATTCGTGCACTATGGCTTTCACCAGAACCCTCCTCGTCGTCATCGTCTTCGTAGGTTGCATAGAGCATACCAACTGTCCGGGTCTGCTAAAAGAACCTCAAAAGTTAGTCAAACTATCCCACAAAGTTTTAACTTATGAAAATGATGAAACAGGTGATAGTTAGCTTTAGAAACGTACTCATAGAGTACCAGAAAAAAACCTTGGGAAAAAAACCAGATATGAGATATTTGCAAAACTCCGGACCGCAGGTGTATGCAGTGGGAAACGAACAATCCCGTTGACGGGTGATTGCTGATGGCAAAAAGATCGATAGNGATGGCAAAAAGATCGATAGAACTAGCTGAGAGACAGGCAAGACGAAGGACCCGGATGGTGTGGTGGTGAAGTGCGCTGCTCCCCGGTAAGGACAACAGCGCGTGTTCGTTCCCCACTGCATACACCTGCGGTCCGGAGTTTTGCAAATATCTCAGCATTTCATACGAGTTATATTTCGCAACATACCCTGCCATTAAGAAGGAAAGGCAATAAATAAAAAGGGTTAAAAAAACCAGCGCTCATCATACGAGTTAGTCCTTCCGCCATGAAAAAAACACACCTTTAGTTCTGTCTCTCTTGGTTCCCATCGGGTCTCAACCGAGCAAATTCCAGGTGGGACGGCGACAATTTGGGATAGGAACTCATCGGTAGCATCTGCGAGAGTGTACGGTTCGACGCAATGAAGTGCCACTTTGCGAAAGATCTCAAATGTCGGTATTTATTGAACAGAACTTGAGAAAATAACTAAATCGGTGGCGACCAGTTTGCTCAAGTCAGTAAGATGTGGGCGACTACCACTCTTGAAGGTTAAGTGTTTTATGAATCGAATTCAAAATGTTTCGTCAAAAATAGCGAGAAAAATATAACACCGTGTGTTAAATCTCTGAATTTAACTAGGAGCTGTTTTGTAAAGCGCGAATACTCATTGTCTTTTTGTCTACTAAATATTGATACACTTCATTACGACTTAGTCCAACGCGGCCCCGTATCGTATGTGCCTGTAGTTTCGTTAGCTTCATAGTTCTTAAAAATCTGCGATATCGAAATATCGTGCTAGTTAAGATAATGTTAACGATTCTATTCAACCTAAATAAAGATGATAGATCTCTGAAACCGTGGTAAAAAAATATAGTACCTCGTCGGCTATCAATGCTGCTATTGTTCTACCGACGGAAATCCGTTCGCTATTGTAGTTCTCTGCCCGACTTAGGAGAATGAAGATAATGCGAATCGGCACCGGTAGGTCAGGAATAGACGGGTAAAGTTTCTGAAAAATGAGACAGGAATGAATATTAAGGACTTCATCAGGACACCATGTATTAGCTGCCATGTAGAGCATTGAATAACTTCGCCTATCTTTCTGCTTAAATAATTATCGGAACTCATTAAAAGAAAAAGGCTCTTGGCATTGATCAAACTCCAAGAGATACGCCATGCATTTGGCTTCATTAGGCGTCGTATGGAGGTGATTGAATGCATATCTGGCCTTTACAACGACTCGGCTGGCCTGCTGATGTATCGAGTCAGTGTTGCCATCCTCCCAGACAAGTCTGGTACCAGTTTGCCGACCCCGGAGGGATGGTAGGCTTGGTGGACCATGGGCGCAGAGGTCGATTCGTGTGTCGCAGTGGCACCTCCAACCACTGTGCCCACACGAGCCCTTATTAGAACTCATTAAGGTAGAATATGTTTCAAAACAAATAGTAGATGAAAAAATTTGGGCAGATTTACTCTCTAGAACTGATCAAATGGTTGCGATAATGAGGTTTGCCCTCCTGAGACACGACACTGTGCGAATTGGCCGGCTATCATGCATGACGACCATCTCGAGACCAATAAGGAGACATTCAATATTTAGCTGATATACAAGAAATTTATCAAATAACGAAAGGTACATTTGACATTTGGTTTTTCTTAGTTCTTGTTCAAAACACGCATTATCATTAAGAAAACTTGGTACGTGCCTGTGGAACGTGTAGCCTGACGAAGGCGGAGACGGCACGATCGAGATGCGGTACCCTACCGACGAGGATCGCAGCTCCCTCGGTGTTAGGTGGCAGCTTCCTCATAATCCGATAGTTCGCCTGAGTTCAGTTTATTATTTAACTCGCTTTACTAAGCAGAAAAATTCGTAATTACACCACTGCTGAATATAAGAAGCTAATAGATTTAAGCTAGCGAATAAAATTAATATAAATCCTTTCTGAATAGAAAAAGTGGAAAATTTGTGAGAACTGACAGCAGAAGAAAATGAAAGGACGAAATAATCATTTTCCGCCTTTTATCTTGGTTAAAGCATAAGACATAATTCTTATGCAAACTTATTGTAGATGCTTATTTTTACCATTAATGGTCAACATGGCTGGCCTCCCAACGGTTTACCGCCTCATCGTGGCTGGGAGGTGTTCTTGGGTGTCGAATTGCGATGTACAGAGAGGAATTCGTTTCCCCGGAAAGGTCTCCCAAGCTGAGGAGTCCGGCGATTCTATCAGGAAGCCTAGCAAAGAGTAAACCAATACCAGGATCCACCACCTTCCTGGTATGAAACTAGTCGCATGGTGGCAAATCTCCCTCTGATCCACAAAGGCTGGCGACTGACTGTGATTGTTAAGACTTGGGGCAGACTTGACCAAACTGACCTCGGGACTCCAGGAAACCACAATAGCTAGACCGGTGAAACTCTGAAAAAAACGGAAAGACGGCCGATTCGATTTTCGTTTAGCTGCAAGCTAATCGACAGTCAATAATGAGGGCTCCACTCTTGAACAGAGCACTGGTCCCATTCCCTCACTAAATCCCTAGACTCCTGACGATGGCCTTTTCACGATTTGTAGCAAGCGAGCCACGCAGCGATTCTGCGTGTCTACTCCAACTATAACAGCTTTTGGCAGTTAGTCAAAGAGGACGACGCTTTCCGAGGTCGAATCGGCAGGAGAACGTGCCTGTTGTTCGATGTACTAGGAGCATCTTCCGCTTCAACGTAATACGCAAAGCCAAAATTTGCTCGAATTCCTCGGAAGATTGTTATTCATTAACCTTACAGTTCCAACCCAGCTCTACTAGATCATTTTCTATTAAGACTGCTTGAAAACCACTATGTCGAAAACAAAAACGCTTAAAAGTAATAAAAGTCAGAATGCAACAGATACTGAGGTGATAGTGACCCGCTCTTTAAGCTGACCCTACCAACGCAGGGGCTGGTTAAACCCCATCCCGCACCCACCATGGATCTCATCAATCCCAAGTCGGCATATCGATGCTAGACTTTTCTGAGGAAAGCCCACTTTCTGCAATCCAAGTGGGAACGCTAGTCAGTGGCATTCATTACGAAAGCAAAATCCTCAAGCAACAGTGGAACCCACGTGCCAAAGAATACTTTCGTGGATAACGAATTCAGGAAAACGAATCGAACGCAAGAAGTGCTGGGGCACGCAAAGTGTGATATATGTCATGCCGGACCGTGTAATAAGAAAACTAAGAAGGTGGGATGAGAGATAAAGCGGATACGGCTTTCGGTTTTGATTAATACCTCATAGATTCATCATGCATTCGACTGCACCAAGTATCGTTAGAGGCAATTGAGTGCATATCTGCCCTGTACAATGAAGTGCGATGGCTTACAGATGAATCGAATCCATGCTATAGTTCCAGACAGGTCTGCTATCACTTAGCCTAGCCAGAGTGATGGAAAGCTTGTTAAGCAAAAGTGTGGAGTCGAACCAAAGACGTGTGCGTCGCAGGGCACATCTAACTATTGAGCTACACGTGCTCCGAAGAAAAAGCAGGCTACTGTCAGCAAAGACAAAGAAGACGGATATGTACGCAAATGTATATGAGCTGGAAGCGCAGTGGTAGTGATGGTTATCACAAGCACGGTGCTGGCTTAAGACATGCACCAAGGACAAAGAAAATAAAAGTTAAGCCATTGTGAATTTGACTGCAGCTCGAACTTAAATAAGTTCTTTGCTGGCTTGTGCTTATTAGTTCATTCCCGTTGACGGGCGATTGATGATAGCACCGTTAGACTAAAAGCGTAGACGAAAGAAGGGCAAAAGCAGGAAACTCGATCGATGTGGTGGATAGCACGTAAGCTCCGCTAAGGGTATTCGTATGTTCTAAGCCCAACTGAGCTTCCAATTTTTATTAATTGCTCACGATCTTTGTAACTGCTGTATTAATTAGAAATTTGCAATTATTTTCGAAGAAGCAACATCACAATCACATCACATCACAGCTAATCACTGTATAGCATATCTCTCTCCATTTCAAATGTTTGGAGAGCAGTAGGCGATGACGATCTAGGAACATCCACACAAACCTATAAAGAAAAAACCACGGCCCAACTAGAAGAGGTACCAGTTTAGTATTAGTTTGACTAGCACTCGCATAATTCATGGCGGCGAACCGTTTAAGCCAATGTTCAATTAAAAGTCCATGATCGTTTAAAGAATGAAATGGGTGAAGTTAAACAACCTATTCCACTTATCGATAAAATTGTAAGACTATGAAGATAAGAAAACGTCATAGTTCGTCTACCTTGATAACATCGTGTAGTGGTTCGCTATGGTGTCTCATCTCCTCGTCGTCGTCTTCGGGCGCACTCTCAGTTTCCGTGTATCTGGCGCCACCACTTTCGTCTCGGACGAGGCGCATATGCTTCTGCTGTTTCTCTGCAAGATTTTTATTCCTTTCTTAATCAATAAATCAGATATGGAAACCAGAAGGTAGTTCTACGCACACTATCTATAATAAAGACGTGTGTAGCACAGTGGTTAGAGTTTGCTGCAATGCACATGTGGTCGTCGATTCGATCACGCACCCTGGCTCACCACCAAGCTTCAATTCTTCGGAGGTCAGAAATTTAGGCCAGACTTGACAACAAAAAATATCACTGTTCTCCAACGATGTTATGATCGATGTCAAAAGAGAGGTTAGCCAAGGCGATACCTTCTCGCAAAAAAATTTCAGCCCCACCCTCGAGAACGTCATGGGAACACTGCAGTGGAACAACATGGGAATGAAAATCTACGGTCGACAATTACACCATTTTCATTTTGCTGATGACATCGTTCTTAGAACACCGCCCATTAGCAAAGGGCAACGAATGTTTGCCGACTTTGATGAAGCTTGTGGAAAGATCGGTCGGTCATCGACTAAATCTCTCAAAAACGATGTTCAGGGGAAACGGATTGGTTTCGTATACCCCATTCACGCTCTACGGTAAGGAAGTCGCTGAGTTCTCCAGCTGCATCTATGCAGGTCGGGAAACCGGCTTTATCAATCACCTAGCTCTAGAATTGAGCAGAACGAAGCGAGCTGCTTGGGAAGTCTTCAAGATCATCGAGGATGTAGTAACGAGAACGATGAATACCAGATTCCATGCTCACCTGTTCGACTTCACGATTCTTCCTGCCTTAATGCTCAGAAATATGGTCGAGACCACTCAGCGCTATTGAACGTGCAGCCGAAAGCACGATGCTGGGAGCGTCCTGTGTTACACAATTATGGGAACGGATCCAAAGCTCCCATTTACGTCAACGATCGAAAATCAAAGATGATGTTCTATACGCGAAGCTTCGAAGAAAAGGTGGGCTGGACACGTAACGTCTATGAAGGACAACCGATGGACAGAGCGGTTAGTGACTGGATTCCTCTGGTTATCAAACGTACGGCAGGAAGAATATTTGCCCGATGGTCAAAGTTCTTCACGAAAATTAGAAGAAAGGCAGAATGCTCAACGTGGCAGAACCCACTGGGTGAGTCTTGCACATGACAGAGAAATATGGAAGATTACTAGCGCCCGTTCAAATCCCTCAACGATTAACGAGAAGACAAGCGACACGTAACAGGTGAATATTGCCATTTCAAATCTTATTTGGCTTTCATGGTAATGACATTGTCTTCCTTACTTTATATAGATGGAGTTCATCCTTAAAGCGGGTTCACCTATTCTAAGAAAGAAATCGAAATTCTCATTCTTAGACCAAACTACAAGTGAATTCGTACTGAGAATCACCGCCGAATGTCAGGAAATGTTGCAAATCCAGCATGCCGTGGCATGGGCATTTCAATGGTTTTTCCAGAAGGCAGGGCACTCAAGTATCAAGAAATTTGACAAGATTGTCTCTTAAACTAAATCCTAGGCAACAAACCAAAATAATTCTCGCCAGGAACGGCTCCGAGATGTTGCTTAGGAGCCATTAGAGCATGGAGAACGTCGTCGCTCGATGCAACGCTCATTGATCCACGAGAAATCCATTCTTTCACGACGTGATCTTAATAAACTGATTGTTGTTATATTGACAAAGGTTAGGCCGGTGCTTAACGCCGCACAGTAAAAGTAGAATGCTATTGTAAATAGTCAGGAATAAACTGTCAGACGAAGAAAGTATCAGATTTGTTGTATAGTAACACCTGTAGCGAATGAAACACGTAGTCAGCAACAATTTTGAGAAGAGGAATTGACTTCACTCACGCGCGATACTCTCGAATCCACTCGATTCCACATCCAATAGCACCAGTCCTTTTTTAAGGCAGTTTTTCGCTTGCATTAACGCCTGTCAATTTGATTTCAATTGTGTGTGTATGTGTTTACGCGTGTGACTGCGTGTGTGTGTGTTTGTGTTTGTGTGTGTATGTATTTTTGTAATATTTTTATTGCACCTGCACTTGAAGTAAGGCAATGTGTGGTTTACTGAATCGAGTGAAGTCTCCTTCCACAGCCTGTTCGTACTTGATCCACCTGACAAAAAATCAAATCAAAGAAACCTTAGTAACAGTTGAGTAATTCAAAAATTGTGAAACGAAGAGAATAAATTTCTGCAGAGTTCATGTAGAGTAGGAAAACATTCTTCAACATAAGTTACTGTATAGACCTAAGTTGACAATGGAGATATGTCGGTTAAATGAGCTTAGCCCAAGTGCTGCCACTTCATCTAGAGGTCCCACGGGCACCTGATGTAAGGAGTCAAACAGTAACAACGATTTTCTTCACTGTGGCAGCGTTCCTTCATAGATGTTTTTTAATAGTTTGGTAGAATTCGTCCTATTAGGTAAATACGTGCCAAACAAAAAAGTAGTTCCCTTAACAAACATTAGAACCCAGCGAACTTCATTGCCGCTCGTTTTCGTTGCCGACGCCTTGTCAGAATTTCCTAGTAGAGTGTCATCAGTTGAGAATCACGAAAAGCTTAGTATTTCGCCTCACAATATGGATCGAATCCCGCGTAATTTCCTACACTACGGCTCTGCCTGGAGATAATCGAGACACCAATTCCTCCAAAGCCAGCTCTCATCAGACCTGTCCGGGAGGATAAAAACCCTGATTTCATGCATCTTAAGCCTCGCAACCTCACAAGTTGTACGGGCCAGCGGCACATTCATTCACCTGAGTGACGCTCAATGGACTGTAATGAATGGCGCATCGTTCTTTCATTCTCTTTTTGCGAAATACAACAAAACACCCCACTAGTAAAATAGCGTAGGACTTCGGCACATGAAAGGTCAAATTCGAGCACTCCGAAACAATTAATTTACGCCATCCGTCGTTTTTATGTCATTGATGATCCATTAAAGAATAGGATAACCGGTCGTGCGGGGAAGTAGAGTATGAAAGTTTTCAGAAATTATTGCCTCTTTTACTAACTACCGTCATCCTATAAATTGTTCACTTGCTTCCTCCTCGACAACATTTAACACGAATAATAATCATGGGTCAAAAAGGAGAGCTATATTGCAATAAAAGAAATGAGCACTTAATTAGTACCACTTGAGAAGACAAACCGTGCTCTCTGTCTCCACATGTAGCCGGATTCCTCAAATTCTAGAGACATCATCTCTGTGAAGATCAACGGATCATCTCCAGGATGCAACAGCACACATCGTCGAACATTTTCCACAGGGCCTTAAGTAAGATTGCTGAAAATGTGGTCAGAGAATGAGTAGGAACAGCTGAACTCTTAAGTGTTGTATTGAACTGAAGTGTAAGTTGTATTGCGCCCATAATGAATTTAGCAGCAAGGTTTAAGCTTTGTACTTTAATCGGATTGTTTAACCTGGTATTGCCTTAGAGTTTGGCAACCTCGTTGTGAGATGACAGTGAGAATAGTAACGGTGTTTCATAAAGTATTCGTCTCAACTACATCTTTTATGTCATTTATTAAGTACTTCAAAACAATGTATGAACTGTGATCCTGCTGTCACTTACCCACTGGACGCCTTGGACGACGTGCTCTCCCGTCACCACTAATCATTTCCCTAGGTTCCTCATTTATGCAATGGCAAAAAACAAAACGACTGATTTATTAATTCCGTTCGATAAAGTCCAGACGGATACCAAGATTATGAAATGCCGTGTAAAAGTCGATTCTACAAAAAATTATCACGTTTCAGACACTCGAAGAGGCGCGTGTGGCGCAATAGTCGGAAGTGCCCTGAAACACACACATGAGATCGATCCCACGCCCGTGGCTTACCAAGCCTTCCATCCATCCGGCAAATTGGGGCCAGGCTTGTCTGGGACGATAGCAACACTGGCTGACTACATCGGTAGGCCACCGCAACTCATTGTAAAGGCCAGGTATGCATTGAATCACCTCCAACGATCCTCGATTAGGTCGAATGAATGTCGCATCCCTCAGGGTTGATCAACGCCGAGAGCTTTATCCTTTTTTTATCAGATTGGTATGATAAACTACCATGTTGGAAGTGGCTTATCTCCACCCGTTCTCATTCCTTCCGTTGCCCCACAGTTGATGTTATTCACATTCTAACCTCTTCTTCCTTTTTTCTGTTACTTTTTCTATACCCTTTCTAACAATGACGTACGTGCGGCAGTATATTTTCTTACGTAATTGTGGGAAACGAGCTGTTGTTGACGTGGAAAACTCAGTACATAACTGGTTCTTACGTTAACACAATGACGATAATGTGAATTTTTCGAAATAATCGTCAAATGACCCGACTAGGAACCAGTCTGATCCTTTCTTTTCTTCTTTTAGTCTTTTATACTCAGTACTTGTTGCCATGGAGTAAGCTTAGGTAGCGTACCGAGCTCACAGATTTTTTTTTCAGTCCCCTGATGAGTATTTGGCACTGTTTCTCAACTTCAGTGATACTGATGATGGGCTGAATTTCTCTTCGAATCAAAATTCGAAATTCATCAAATTTCCTCCATTCGTGAAGTCACATCTGGCTTGCAATGTCGTCGGACATGGAAATTTCTCATCGAAACTGATTCGAATACCAATATCGAGGGCAACGAGCCCAGAGATGTCTTCCGAATCAATATTGATTGAAATATACTGATTTTCAACCGCAACGTTGCTGAGATATTTGCAAAACTACGGACCGCAGGTGTCTGCGGTAAAGACCGAACCCGCTATTGCCCTTTCCGGGGAGTAGCGCGTTCACCACCACACCACGCGGGTCCTTCGTTTCGCCTGTCTCTTAGCTAGTTCTATCGATCTTTTGCCATCAGCAATCACCCGTCTGCGGGATTGAACTGGTGGGGCCAAACCGCCAACGAACCCAGTTAAGCTGAGGCCGAGCTGAGAGAGAGACGAAACGAAGGACCCACGTGGTGTGGTGGTGAACGCGCTACTCCCTGGAAAGGACAATAGCGGGTTCGGTCTTTACCGCAGACACCTGCGGTCCGGAGTTTTGCAAATATCTCAGCACCATTGAAGTAATGTTTCACAATGTATATCTGCCGTTAAAAAGAGTAGGCAGTAAATAATAAGTTAAAATTGTTGGATCTAAGTTCTTTCCGGTTGAGCGCTAAACGATAGTCCCTCAGCCCATACTGTTGTAAAAGTTTCAAGAACGAAAACAGTCGTGCTGAGACAATCTGGACGGCTAATGCGAATTAGCATCCGTCAAATAGCGTTTTCGATTTCGAATTGGAAAAGATATTTACCGCTCAAACGCTCTTCCAATTTACGTCAAACGCCTTTTCCATCAGAAAATTTATTACAATGTAGAATTGTTTGCTAAGAGGTCGTCAGTAAACCGATGTCACAATATATTTACTGCAAAGAACTCCATTCCAATCATTGTCAAATAAGTCAGCAGTTCTTAGTATTGGTTTGTCTGTAACTGGCATTCAGATGGAAATGTTCAATTCCCTTCCACTTTGTCGTTCATGAAATGTTCAAGTCAATCCGGCATGGGGAAGTGATATGCCAGATGCCTAAGGTGCTGAATTCAACTTCAACTCGAGGAAAATACGTCATCGTTTTTTGCTCGCCATTACCTCGTTGTCGACCACCATGCACTCGTTACATGGCTTCTTGGAAAATTGGATAATTTCCCTTAGGTAATGGAGATCCGCACAATGAGTATTATTGGTAACATTAATATTAACATTGGTAACAATGATGCTTCAACTCTGAAATGACTGGGTAACCGGTTTTCAAATGTCTTAATTTCTCTAGCACTTCTTTCATTTGATTTGTCGTCGTAGAGAACGTCGAAACAGTCTGTGGATTTGGAGGCGGCGGCTTGCCGGCCTCCCTTTCTTGTGGACACGCTGAATACTAGTTGTCTATGATCTTCCATCACGTCTCTGGATGGATGGACTAGAGCTTTCCTGATCTTCACCTTCAACTTTTTTTATTCTCGGGTTCTTGTTGCGTGAAGAGAGGTTAGGCACATCGCGCCTGGGATTCTTCCGGCTGACTTATGCCAGCATGATAGGCGGAGTCCCATAACTTAACAGAAAATGATAACAAATGGCAATATTGATAAACATACTGATTCTAATGATGATGACAACAACAGTGGTATTAATAATGACAGTCATGATAATAATAGTAATAATGATAATAATAATAATAGTAATAATAATAATACCACTCCCTCTAATGGTATTGGTAATAATAGCAATAGCAGCAGCATTAATAAATAACTAAAAATAAAGATATGCTTACTGTCAATATGATTTCCAAGATTCACAAGCTGGCTAACTGTGATTGGATCGAGAAGCAGATCACCTGAAGCATAGAACAGAACTCTATGAAAAACATAAAGTGAGAGTTCCTTATTCGGAGCCTCATGTCTCAACATTTGTTCAGGACATTTTTACCAGATGTCCGTCCTACTGGAGGATTTTAGACGAAATCCGAACCTCACGCAGGCTTGTAAAGAGGCAACATTTAAATGAAAAATGGTTGATCCCATGTCGCTGAGATATTTGCAAAACTCCGGACCGTTGGTGTCTGCAGGAAGAAACAAACGCGCTATTACCCTTTCTGCAGACTAACGCGTTCACCACCATACCATACAAGTTCTTTGTTTCGCCTTGAAAGTGGTTAATTCGAAGGTCTTAAAGCGTACGGTAGCCTTCGGTCATCGATCTACTAAGTGTCAATTCGCCGTTAATGAAAAGATTCTCTTTCTTTCTGACTCTTCATCACTGACGTGTACATGCTTTTGTCGAATGAGTGATAAATAATAACGGTTGTTAATCGACTGGAAAACCTCTCATCGGCCACTTTGAAGAGAAAACAACTCTCATTTGCATTTCATTTCAAGTAGGCGGCGCAGGAAATCGTCAATATTGTTTGTTCTCAGTTGAGCTACCAACTTTATTTTCACATCCTCCTCGAGTCACTCCAGTGACATTTTTTCCGCCTCAAGTGTTACTTTACAGTAAAATGCAAGTGAATAACCGCATTCCCGTTGAAGAAAAAACTTCCGCGTGAACAAAAAATTGATTGAGAATCTCTGTTAGAATCGCTTTCAGTAGTGAAGTACTCACCTTGACGTGCCCAAATAAGTGACACCAAATGCTCAGTTGAAAAACCGAGATGACATGCAGTCAGTCTATAACGTCATAAGTCTTATGTAAAAGTACAAAAGGATAAAGCTCTCGGCGTTGATGAATCCCTGAAGGTTGTGCCATGCATTCGACTTCATTAGGCATCGATGGAGGTGATTGAATGCATACCTGGCCTTTAGAATGACTCGCGGTGGCCTACCTATGTATCGAGCCAGTGCTGCTATCCTGCCAGATAAGTCTGGCACCAATTTTTGCCTACCCCGGAGGGAGGGAAGGCTTGGTGTGCCATGGGCGCGGGGATCGATTTCACGTGTGTGTGTTGCAGGGTGCATCCGACCACTGCGCCACACGAGTGCGCCCTAAGTATTCCATAACATAAAATATCTCTTTCGATTAGCTGGAAACTCCTTCGTAACGGGACTGTAATTTCACATGAAAAACTAGGATCAATAAGCTCCACAAGTTTTTTTTACTTGTTTAAACCACTGCAATGGTGCAGTGAATACTTGGCTCTGCGCAATAGCGGTTCGAGTACTGCTAAAGGAAATCCAGCTGTACGTGGTACTAAGCTGATTCGCTTTCCAATAGATTCAGTCACAAACGATAGAGATCTTAGACGTCACTCGGCCACCGTAAGTGGTTTATGGGTGAGATCCTTACTAGCTGTTCTCACGTTGATCTCATAAATAAGATCTCCTTATCTGCACAATTTGTTTCCCACGCGAGGGACACGAGAGCGATATTTCCACTGTTTAATATAAATCGTGAACAAACACGTTTTGAAAGACAATTTTTGTTGGAAAGTCATGTATTAGGAAAGAAAGAATTGCGCAGGTAATCGACCATGAAATTAGCCGAAGAAACAATGTTGTTTTATGCAGAAAACCTTTCCTCCACCGGAAAATCCACTGCGCTGAAATAAGAAATATAGTGCACTTATTGTATAATACTGTTTGTTCGGATATGTGTAGTATTAAGAGTGTTGAAAGGTAAACAGCGCATTTTATTTTCCTAGTTTTCGTAGCCCGAGTTATGAAATGCCTTCAAAAGATTCAAGACTTATAGAAGTTCGATATGACTACTTGTGACATGACTGCATGCTATGGTAGAGGTTTTCCATGAATCGAATCATTCAGCTCACTTTTAGCATCACCGGTAAGAGCCAATGTGGGTTTCCGAATCGGATCTGTCACCGAAGATTTCCTATAACGCGCGGCCGCAGAGGATCCACGAAATTCCGGAATACCGGCTATACTGAGCGACCCTGATGGCATTCCCTGAAATATACGCAATCAGTTGATCGTCAAGTACTGTATGCATACGGAATTGCGTGTAATAAATGTTAGAATACAGAAATAATTCGTTGTTAAATATCAGAAAATGAGTTTGCGCGGTCAATTCATATTATCTGCGTTAGTTTATTTATCTCATCTAAGCTGGCCAGTTGTAGAATGTGTCTACAGCAAACAACAACAGTCCATACGTCCCTGTCTAACGCCAGATGTAGTGGACTTTTTATTCCTAAGAAATACTCATACTTGTTTTTACTACGAGAACTTTCATATTCACTGTTTTTTCCCATGGCGACCACGAGTAGCTACCTCGTGAGAGCTACCTACCTGAGTTCCGCAGGTGAGCTGAATACACTCATGGAAGGTTTACTTAGCTCTCTTCTTTATGGAGACGATCCCGAAGCAACTCCGATGTTTTCTCCAACCTGATTTGCGGTTTTTCTTCGAATGATGCAATTTGATTTACACAAGCACAGCTAACATATGCGCGCATGAAAATACTAACTGGGCTACAAATACGACAGCTCAGTCCAGTTATCGCGAACTAAGAAACCCATTCTCTGATTTTTAAGTCCACTTCTACTTCGTGTATCGCGGCTAACCGGCATGAGATCGCATATATTCAAGGGAAGCCGTGATAGTAAAGGTCTAATATTAATCATCTTCACAAAAAAGCGTTGCCATATTTTTTTTTGAGCAATCTCATTGAAATGACAACGTTTAACTTCTACTGAGTGCCTATTCTTTCTTTCTCATGGCAGAGAATTAGACAAAATGCAACCACAGTGATGCTGAGATATAAGCAAGGCTCAGAAAGTCAGTTGGGCTTCAAACTCACCATTACCCTCTCCGGGGCTTGCGTGTTATCCACACACCAACCGAGGCCGCTGTTTGGCCTTTATCTCAGCCAGTTTCTAGTCTAGTGGTGCTAGGTTCCGAGTCTTGCTTATATCGAAATTTAATTGAATCAAGGGAATTTTTGTAGCGCGGGTGTTTGGGCAAAGTTTTCTGGACTAACACATCATAGATTGCACCACTACAATTCTAAAAAACGATAATTTCACAGAAGAAATTTAAATAAACCTATTTGAAGTGGAACAAAGACTTCTAAGAAGAAAAAACATGACATGAATTAAAAACATGAGTTCCATTCCCACATTCAGCTTTCACTCACAAATAAGAACGATGAACTTAGATTTAGATTTAACTTATTATTTACTGCCTACTCCTTTTAATGGCAGGGTATATTGCGAAATTCCGCCGATGGGTGGTTGCTGATGCCATGGATCGATAGAACTTGCTGAGAGACAGGCGAAACGAAGGACCCGCATGGTGTGGTGGTGAACGCGTTACTCCCCGGAAAGGACAATAGCGCGTTCGTTCCCCACCGCAGACACCTGCGGTCCGCAGTTTTGCAAATATCTTAGCAACATTGAAGATATGATTTAGATGTTTTAAAGATAAATGAAGGAAATAAACGGAAAACTAAAGAACAGCTGTTTCCAGCTGTCTACAACAAAGAGGTTTCAGCAGTATTGGGGATTACGATGTGGTTAAGAGAGAAATCATCATCTGTAATCCGACGATATAGTCAGCCCTGAAGATGCCATGTCTCTTCGACATCGGTCTTCAATTCTATTTGTCGCCTTTTATATTTAACTTATGATATGACGTCTGATAGTTATTATTCATTGGAATAGGAGCAACTGAAATCAAGAGATCTCGCTAAAGGCGATCTATTCACCCTATTCCTACCAAGATAGAATTCTGCTTTTCTAGAGCCCACAAAACCAATGCTTTTCACTTCTCTAGATATTCGGCCACTTGCACTGTCCACGAAAAGTCGACTCACTCAATGGAGGATTCTCTTTCATAGTAGAAAACAGATATGGCTACACTCCAGGAAGAATCACAGTCACAAGGCAGGAAATCTTTTGCTGGTCCATAAAGCCGCCTATATCCAGGGAATACCACGGCGCGACTAATTCGAAATTTAAAAGAAAACAATGCCTAACCAGCTTTCAAAGTGTTAACGAAAGAGGTGAGTAGAACGTAAGGTTGCAGATGAAGGCATGTAGCATAGCACAACCACCTAAGTGGACAACAACTACAAGATAATGTAACGAGTGGAACAAGTAACGAAACTCGCAAGCGATTTGAGGACGATTCATCTAGCTATCGAAGCCAGTAAGTCCTTTTGTTATCGTTCTTATTTAGAACACAGAAACAATTAAGCAAGCAAAATTTCGTCCAGTATGACATGACAGTATCTCTCAGTGCATTGTTTGACGTTCTTCATTGCTGTGTTTTCGTTGAAAGTTTTAAAATTTAAATTTCGCCATGACTTATAGTTACAGTTTCGAACATATTCATATTCAAAGTCGAAATCACATTGGAAAAGTTATGTGTAGCCTCGAGAGAGCAGTTAGTATAGTGGTAGTGGTGCAGGTCATAACGAGCCCGATTCTGGCTCGATCCCGCTTCGGACTTACGACCCTTCGTCCCTCTGGGGTCAGGAAATTGGTACCGAATTTGTCCGAGGAAAAATTACTCTGCAGCCCAATTGGAAACCCTCTACCCTGGCTATCTCAGGACTCCAGTGAGAATTAGCTCCACCGGCATTTTACGATATTCAAAAAAAAGAAAAAAATCTCGAGCAGCGGCCGAATCAAGGAGAAGGAGAAGTTGAAGACGTTTGTGGATGGTGGATGCAAGAAAACAAATCGAATGCGAAAAGCGTTGAGATCCGGCAGTAGATGTGAATACGAGTCCTATAAAATAAAAAATGACCCCGGATGGATAGAGCCGCTTCAATAAAACTGTTAAATTATCAGCTTTCCAGTTACTGTAGTGGACGATAAAGTTATCGGTTGTTATCGACGAAGCTAGCACTGTGTTGACATTGGATGAGATTATTTTAGTACCATCAAATATTATGCGGTGGCCGTCTCAGTGGATTACCTCTTGTTTACGAGTTTATTTTAAGGTCACCGACAACAGTAGAGTTGATTGGCTTAGATAGTTGTCGCACGAACGTGATCATGCACCGAACAACGGCAACTCGTCGTACTGCTCTAGAAAAATTTTCCAGAGTTAAGTACCGTTTTAAGATGAAGATGAAAGGTGCGTTATCCAAGAATCATTCTCCACACGACAAAACAATGACAATAGTAAAAGATTGCATTACTGATACCTTTACTATAGTAATTTTCACTGTGTTTGTTTGTTGTTGTTATTTCATCAAGGTGGACATGTCAAAGTAGTCAGAGGCGCCATGCACTCACTACGCAAGTGGTCAGTGGTTGGATTTCGGTCATAGGCTCATCAACCTTGTGTCCTTCTCTAAGTCAGCAGACTGGTACCAGACTCTTCTGGAAGGACAGTAACATTGATTTAATGCATCGGTACGCAAAATGTGCGCCCAATCACTTCTTTGATGTCTACTGGAGTCCATTGGCGGCGCTTTCCTAAGGGTCAATACAGAACGCTTTATTATAACTTTAACTTTTATGTTCTATACGTGGTGTAACCAGGCATAAACATGTAAATCTGCGAATGTGCAGTTCGTTTTACTAAAGCTCTAAAAGTGGATGGAAAGTACATGGAAGAGTGCTGGTTCGTGTTACCCCCAATAGGCGACGATACCACTACTCAGACAGACTCCTGCAAAGCAAACACAGTTTTTGGCGTCTTAACAGAAAACATGGACACGTCGTGTACCACGAACGAACACAACGCAATGGGAAGATTTGGAGCATAAGGAAAGAGTGCATCGTTTATCGGTGCTGTCTTGACGGTTCACGACATTACAAGTGGTTCAGGTGTTTCATGTCTTTGGCTGCAGTTGTAGATTATAAAAGCTTACTTCTAGTGAAACCCACATCATGTTTAAAAAATCTGGTCCAAAAAAACGGTAATGGTAGTTCTATAACGCTAACTGGTTTTCTTAGTCATTCTTTTCTTTGACTAAATGTTAGAAATGCGAACAAATTTTTTTGCTGGCGAGAAGTTTTCACAGCTGTGGCTGTCTATCTCATAAATTAATATACTGCAAGAAGAGTAGAAATTGCTAAGATTTTGTGATTAAAGAGAATTCTATAAAAAGAAAGCATTTGAAAAAAACCAATAATCTCTCAGACGACGAAATTGTGAAGACCTACACAGGACAAATAGACTACCGTAGTTAACGTGAACTTAAAAGTAAGAAGATAAAGCTCTCGGCGCTGATCAATCCCTTGAGGGATACGCCATGCATTTGGGTTCATTAAGCATCGTTTGGAGATGATTGAATCTGGTCTTTACAATGAATCGCTGCGGCCTATCGATGTACCGAACGAACCAGTGCTGCTATCCTCCTCGACAGGTCTGGTACCAATTTCGTGGGTATCAATTCCACATGTGTGTTGCAGGGCATCTCCAACCACTGCGCCACAAGTGAAATTAACCTCACAACTTCCTTGAAAATGAATGAAAAATATTTGCTTATATGCTTAGTTAAGCTAACACAGAAACTATGGACAGTAAATCCCACGTTCGACTTTCTATTAACTTTCTTTCTTCTTCCTTTATTTCTTTCTTTCTACTATGGACAGTGGTGACTTTTTATTTAGTGCCTTCCAAAAGTTTTCACGCAAGGTATTTTGTGTGAAACAACCCCATCGTCGCTGAGATATTTGCAAAACTCCGGGCCGCAGGTGTCTGCGGTGGGGAACGAACGCACTGTTACACTTTCCGAGTTCTAACGCGTTCACCACCACACCATGCTAGTTTTTCGTTCCGCCTCTCTCTCAACTAGTTCTACGGACCATGGGTAGTCATTACTCTTTCTTTAGGACTGCTTATTTTGAGTAATTGATTCTCTGGCAATTTGACAGCGTTCTAATTAAGGTTTTGCTTAACGTTCTACCAAAAAAAAAAGTAGTCGCATGTAGAGCAGTGGCTAAAGGAGTCGTTCATTACACAAACGGTGATTTGTTTAAAAA